CAGTTAGAATTTAAGGAGACTGCCATGAACACCAGAGCTTCAGTGGCTTCCGGGAGCGAGTCGTCGTCAATGCCAGTACCAAGGTCGACAAACCCACGGTACTTCTTGCCATCCCACTGTACATGCTTGCGTATGGACATCTCATCCAACATCAGCGCGCAAAGGACTTCTTGACCATCTCATTTTCCAGCCAGGACTTTTGCTTTCAATGCTGTCAATGCTTCCTTGGTAAAACCAGGTTCCCCATCCATAGCAGTGTACCAGCTGCTGAGCACTGATGGATGTGGTAACCCTAAATCAAAACTCTTTCTAACATATTTATATGCCTTTGCAGAGTAAAACTTCAGGGTCATAGCGAATGTTCGTAATTCCTCTGGATACGCACCTGGATTTTTCTTTTTCTTCTGTGTCACCAACCTTTTCATAAGTTCCTTAGGAACCCCTGAAAAAGTTGTCTCCCGGATACTGGCACAATGAATATGTGCGTCGTTTATTGAAGTGAAATTCATCAACTTAAGTACCAAAAGGGGTTCATTTTCAATGGATTAAGACCCAACTCTCAACGGTGAAAATATGCGATTCTGACTAACATTTTTTATCCGATTCGTATTTGCTCATTTTTTATCCATTTGGCATGAAGAAGATATCATTCAACAGCTAAAAGCATGATCTCTCCTAATGTTAAAAAATCTTGTTCATATGCAGAGTAATTCAGATACAATATCGCGCTGAAGTTCGATTACCTTTTTTTTTATACACTCTGTATATTGTATATATATATATTACATTCATAGATTGTATGAAAATTAAGGTTTGTCCAATTATCCAATATCAAAAGGCCCAATCATGCAAAAGAGGTTGCATGACAACATCTTTACATCCCTATAACTTTGACAGTTACAGTATGCCAGGCATTAATCATTGAATCAGGCATTAATCAAAATTCAGTATTAATTACCCCTCTTGTACAGTATGACCATTAACCCATTGAGTCTCATTGCACCCTGATGCACCCTACTTTAGTATTTTACTCTGTCTAATGCCAGACAATTTTACTCATCAAGGGGAGGGTGCTGGTGTTTAATGGGTTAATTATACTGATACACTCATAATAAGGGACACGTCATTATTTATGGTGGTGGGTGGCACCAAAGAGAAAGGTTTTTTGTGGCAAAAATACCGTACTAAAGTAGGGTGCATCAGGGCGCAATGCAACTCAATGGGTAAAAAAGTACAAAATTTGATTGCCCAACCTTGAAAATCAATTAAAAAATAAATACCCACCCCTGGCCAAAACTTTACAAAAGGATACCATTCAATTGTGACACATGTCCTTTACCGGTACCACTTCTGTGACACGAGTTTGATAACGGTTTGTGAAATTTTCTGCAGTCTAAAGTTTTATATTGTCTGTACAATTATGTAGTTTCTTTGGAGACATTATTTGTCTCCCGACAAATCTGAAAATATCAAGATCGTGATTCTGGTAGATTCACATATTGTATTGACACATGATTGTTGACATTGCTTTTTAGTCTTCAATATTTTAGTAACTAAAGACATGCTTGGCATGGAACATTTTTTTCTTACCCAACGCTTGAGTTTTCATTTACCCACCTTTTTACTTACTCGAAATTTTGTTTACCTAACCATTTTAAATCTCTTTGGTGCCACTCCCCACCATAAATAATGACCGCTCCCTAAACTGTAAATACGACAACCCACCTGACCAAAGCAATCATTAAAGATTGTTGGTACAGCATATGGCTTTAACACTGGTCTCTGACTATAACCCTTCTCGAACATATCTGCACTAAAATGCTTCGAACACAAACGACTATTTTTCATAGGAACAAACTTCACTGGCATAAGTTATATATATACTTCACTAAGCATAAGTAAATGAACAATTGTTCTTAGTGTCTAGTTACACTGTGCAATACGATACATATAAGTTACAAAATAAACAATGCCACACTGAACAACACATGGTTTAGTCCACAACATAGGTGTACGGCACGGGAGAAAATTAGGGGGGCAGAAAGAAATTTGCCCGAATTTTTCGGATTGTGCCCGACAAGTGCTGAAAATTTTTTTTCCGGAACAATTAATTTTTGTGACCTCCCTCCCCCCGTCGTCAAAAAAATTTCGGTCAGTGTACCATTTTAGGGGTCCAAAAATTTTTTCCGACATACCAAAATTTTTCGGAACATCAAACAAATTTTCCCGAAAATCGCCATCATTTTCCGCAAAATTTACACAATTTGTCCCATTTTATTTTATAATAACCCAATATTGCCCGACTGTTAAGCGAATATTGCCAAACTGGCTTTGCTTGCCCAACAAACTGGGATTATTATTAAGAGAGATTTTATTGCTTTTACTACTTTTTGCCCGACTTTTGCTCGACTTTTGTTGAACATTTGCCCGAATTTTCGACTTTGTAATCTTTTTGGGGGGCAACTGTCCCCCCCTGCCCCCCGTCCCGTACGCCTATAGTTGCATGCAACATATATGGCATGCAACAAAAAATTAGTTAGGCCAGCAATTTGGCCCGAGGCCCGCAATTGTTTTAACCCGCAGCCCGCAAAAACTGACCCGCAGCCCGCAAAAATTGACCCGCGCCACGCAAAATAGCTAGACCCTGATTTTTGTATCTGTGCTAAGTGCTAGACACTATGCTATCGAGTTGTGTGTGCGTTTGTTTGTCAACCCTGGAGATAACACCCTTGTTACAAGATTGGTACAGGAAACAAAATGGCACGGTAAAAGAGTGATGTTTCTATTACTAATTTATAATACACACTTTTATACACTGTCTATGAGATGTTATTTTCATTCTAAAGCTGTACTCAAGTAAAGTACTAGAGACTAAATGCTTTATAATTTTACGATTTTGTGTCAGTCTGTTCGACTCAGATATTTTACAACATTTTCCAACGAAACTTCAGAATATTACTAATTTTTTTCTAAGTCTCTTTCAAGCTGAGTGAAATTTTTGTATAGACGAGTAGCGATCAAAATTTTGGTTGTATTCTTGTAGTATATTTAAAAGTAAAACCTTTGAACAAGTTTACAATATACAGTAAATACTAAATTCAAATCCTATTTTCCTACCATGGGCAACAAAAATCCTTACAACTCCTTCTATACTCCTGACATTGGGGTTATACCCTAGCAAAAAGATTTAAATATTCACAAGCCCTTGAGATTGATGAATATATATGTCTGAGGTATTTAAGGTGGTATAAAAAATATGCAGGAGAAACTTACATGACCACTAACTGGATCACGTAACAATGGATAGGTTACAATCAGACTTTTTGCCATCTCCTTTAATTCCATAGAAGTTGGCAATCGATTCCATGGTTCAGAAAGGGCCACAGATACCATGTTGCTTACAGTTGCTCGCACAATATCATGAACCAAGTGTTCTGGTAAACTTCCATCTTTTGAAGCTAAGTCAACACGTCTATCACGATAGATGGTATAAACTGGTGATTTTACATGCAATATTGCTGCTGAGGTTGAAGGAATAAGCTTTGTCGACGTTTGTTTGATTATGGTAATAATTATCATCTTCTGATAAGTCAGCATCATTGTTGTCATCTATCATGTCAAACTTTCTTTTTCCATCCATTCTTTTTGTTGTTGATTTAGGGCTAGCTGTTAGTTTCTCATTTTCCTGAAATAAAAAAAGGAAAAGCTTCATGCAGTACTTAACTTCCAATACTTCAGTCTTATAAGAGTGCAGAGAAAATGGGTGTCAATGTATCTAAAAGAAGGGATTGATAAAAAAAACCAGACAGAGGTGTGCTAAGTGGGTAGTCGCCTAAAACCCACTATCAATGAGGGCACTTGGTAGGGGATATGGTCAAAAATGGTTTGAAAAATACAATTGAAAATATATTGCTGGTATGTTAGATAGACCCTGAGTTGAAGTACATTACTGTGGATATAATTATAAAATATTTTTACCTGAGCTATAACTTTGCATATGCGTGACCTCAATAATATTCCTTTCATTCCATCAGCTGGAATAATTTCTCTCAATGCGTCATAACAAAGATCTTTCACATCCTTACTTGTTAGGCCACCAGCTGAAACACATAATTAATAAAGTGTGACTATCCCATGCCCCATGCTTATAAATGGTATTGACAATATTAAATAATTGTGCAGTCACAGAAAATCAGTAAAGACTAGAGTTAAAGGTCCAATTACAGTATTGATATC